TAAACATGCACAGTATATGCGGACGCACTTTGATAATTATCTTGTCTTCTCATTCTTGGAAGATAATTAGCTCATTATGCTCCAACGAAGGGAGTTAGGCAAGTGTTGGGCAGAAGTGGTTGAACTTGGCGGTTCTACTGACCATTTAGGGACATAGTGAATTTCATTTTACCGACGTCGACTATAAATGTCGTCCGAAAATGATGTCGATATTTTCAGCTTGCGCATTGTATGCGGACCGGCTTCGGTAATTGCCTCGCCTTCTCTTCGTTAACAACAGTGTGTTACGTGACTTAACATTGTAACTGTAATGCTGTTACGTAAAATGGGGGCACTGGCAATTATTATTATCGAAGAGGGCGTGTAACTTCCTCTCAAAACGAATGAAGTACTAATTTCTTTCGCTACCATCATGAGGTAAAGTTGTCCCTGTGCTTAACTAATAAAACACTACTCCATGAAGACGTATGTGGGAGTATATGTGTTATTGACCTCGGCACTAGTTGGAGATAGTGGTGAGCTTCATGTCCCAGCCGCCTTACCCCGCGAGAGACCAGTCTTTTGGGAGAACCAAGCTTACAGTACAGCGTTATGCAAGGGAACCCAAAGGGATAGTATGACTTCATGCGGGCGGCACTGCTGGAAGTGACAGCCCGTAAGACCGGTAGTAATTCTTAACGAAGGGCGGGCTTCTGCAGCTTGATGGGACTGCAGTTCCGTCAACATCGCGCCGTTGAACAATGCAGGGAGATGTAGGTGAGTTTCCTGCTATGGATCACAGAGCGCATTCATTCTCGATACGCCCTTCTGGCTCCCCCTCCCCCCTACTTTTCTGTCGGTTGATTTCCTTTCCTGTGCCCATCCCTGCGGCCCCATCCGGGTGGCTACGCCCTCTCCGCCGCTGGACATAGTGCAAGAGCAGCAGTGACATTAGTAATTTGCAGTGGACAGAAGTAACAGGTCGTGTCTGCAAGTGAGGATTCATCTAATTCGTGCCTGTGAAGTAAGTGAAATCCTCAGGAGGTCCATATGTAAGGGGCAACCATAGGGGCGTGTGTCGAGGAAGAAATGTGGGTTTAATACCTGTTCGTTCCATATGACGATGCTAGCTGAGCAAGAGCAATATTCGGGTAAATGTTGGAGAGTGATCGGGAGTTTCCGTCGTCATGTGTCAGATACAGCGGTTCCCAGGCTTTGAAAGAGATGTGTGTGGTATACGTACGGCGATTTAAAAGCATGGAGCGGATGGTACGCTATATTTAGGTTCCTACCATGGTAATTTCCTGGATATACTGAGGAAAACATCGGAAACTTATCATGAAAAGCCAGTGCTACAAATGGAATTCGGAAAGGGTATTTTTTTTTTCGAATCAGGTTAACGCGCTGCCTATGTAATAAACTTGTAAACAAAAGGTAAAGCTATCCCTGTAACAGGTCATGGACGCCCATTGGTGGCGGTGAGGTTGTCAGCCTTACGCACCGCCTACCCTTTACCCCCCAGGAAGACTCCTGGTACTCATTTCTGTTAGAGGCTGAGTCGACTCCAGGGCCATAGTGAGGCTGGAAGGATTAGGTCAATTGATACAAATCAAATGAAATCAGAAATCGAACCTGCGAACTTCCGGCTTGTAGCATAGCGCCTCAACTAACATCGCTACCGCGTGCCCCGATGTATGAGTAGATTGTGTGGATTTTCATATTTGCGTGTTTCATACTGTTTAAAGATGCGAACCGCATTCACCCGCCGAGGGTAGGGCCTTGTGGTGGACTACGGTAACGAAGCGGAAATAAATTCTTGATCATCTCAGCAACTGTAAGCTTCTCAAGACGTCGTCCGTCCCTGTTCCGTAAAGCCATTTCATATTGCACATTTTTGTTGCGATTTGATGAACACTCCAGATAGTGATAAAATTCCGGCAGAACTTATTGAAGCAGGAGGTGAAATATTACATTCTAAGATCCACAATCTAATTACTTTTATTTGGCATGAGGAAAAATTGCCTGATCAGTGGAAGGAGTCTATTATTGTACCAGTTCACAAGAAGGGTGATAAAACTGACTGTAGTAATTATCGAGGGATATCACTGCTATCAACTTCATATAAAATTTTGTCCAATATTCTTCTTTGAAGGTTAATATAGATGAAATTACTTGGGATCATCAGTGTGGGTTTCGACGTAACAGATCAACTACAGATCAGATCTTTTGCATTCGTCTTATATTGGAGAAAAAATGGGAGTACGATGAGACAGTACATCAGCTATTCATAGACTTCAAGAAAGCCTACGATTCAGTTAGGAGGGAAGTATTGTACAATATTCTAATAGAGTTTGGGATACCCATGAAACTAGTTAGGTTGATTAAAATGTGTTTAAACGAAACTTATAGTAAAGTCCGTTTAGGTAAACATTTGTCTGATAAATTTCCTATCCAGAATGGTCTAGAACAAGGAGATGCTTTATCGCCACTCCTTTTCAACTTTGCCCTAGAATATTCAATTGGGAAGGTCCAGGAAACAAGGTGGGGCTGAAATTGAACGGGACACATCAACTGTTGGTCTATGTCGATGATGTGAATCTACTGGGTGATAATGTAGATACCATAAAGAAAAACATACAAACTTTAACCGACGCAAGTAAAGAGGTTGATCTAGAAGTAAACACAGAGAAAACTGAGTATATGTTACTGTCTCGTCACCAAAGTGGACAATATTAAAATTGATCTTAGAGAGATAGGATGGAATGGTATTGATTGGATTGATCTAGCTCAGGATAGGGACCAGTGGAGGGCTTTTGTGAACACGGTAATGAACCTTCGAGTTCCTTAAAATGCTGGGAAATTCTTGAGTAGTTGCAGAATTGGCGGCTCCTCAAGAAGGGCTGAGCTCCGTGAGTAAGTAAGTAGGTTGATGAACACTAATAGACTACGGATGTTCACGTATCGTGCACGAAACAGCGGATGCGATGCCAATTTTAAGGAACTCGTAGCGAGGCTGAAAAACAGCGTTAACTTCTGATTACTGAGCTCTGGCACTCGACGCTTGGATCTTTCGAGTGCGAGTCTGACGCGTCGTTGGAAATCTTATGTTCTCGTGACATTTCAGAAACATAATTACATTGACCTTATAATCAGCTGCTGAATTCTCGTAATTCTGTCGTGCATAAACTACCAGGTCGCTCAGTATCGATGGTTAAATATTCAGAGTAGTTAAGGAAATAGTGACGAAGTGTCCAGCAATTCCTCACATATTACAGCTTATGAATTCGTGTATTCGTATAATTTCATATTTAATAATCATTACTTGAAGCAAAATCTGAAGTCAGAATACGAAGGTACCACACACATTTTACAATTTTATAGTATAATCTCGATACAGGAAGCCTATGAAATAAGTACTTAACCAAAGGTTTATTAAAACCGAACTCTCGCTCATTTTTTTAAAGGAATGATTAGGCCTAATTACTGGAGTCGGTCTTTACTTCATTTTTTTTCCTTGGCACTACAGCCCCAGTGGGCCTAGGCCTACCTCCATGAACTTTTCCGATCACTTCAGATTTTCTAGATCTTACACATACGGTAGGACTCCTTGGGCGGGTGATCAGCTCGTCGCAAGGCCTCTACCTGTACATAGACACAGAAAAACCCACACAAACATCCATGCCCTGAATGGGATTCGAACCCACGATCCCGGCTTCCGAGCGAGCGAAGACAGTGCATGCCTTAGACCGCTCGGCTACCGACACCGGTCTTTACTTCATATAAAATGTATATATTTTTTAAAGTACCTTATGTAATTTTTCCGATTCCTCCAACTGTTACAACAGCAGTTTCTGTTGGTTGTGACGCCCTGTGATGAAGATAATGATAGTAAACGTAAAAGTAAAACGTCTGTCGAGATTTATCATCCGCAGTGAACAGTCAATATTATTGAAACAGCTTTGTAAGACACAGGACTAATATAATATTCATAGAGCGATAATATGAAGCGTTCATACATTGCAGCAGTTCCCACAACCTGCAGATACTCTCAGCAAGAACAGAACAGTCTGCGTTGGTGCACGAGAAACCGCAGAATGGAATTGACAGTATAAATAACATTTGATTACAATGACATATTATTATTATAATAATTATAACTGTTTACCTGTAAACGCAACAGTCGAGAGCCCACTTATAAAGTGAGCACGAGTAAGAAGAAAGTAAAACTGTATGGACTTGCATACAAATATAATGCAAAACAAGGCAGGTTGAATGATAATAATATGTCTGGTACTTCGGGGGCCCTTCAGTCATACCCATTCATCATTCTAATAATGTATAAATGACAACAAAACAACTCAGGTACTGAATTCATATTTCACTCTGCTCATGCATGTAAACATTGCATCTGTTTTAGAAAAGTTCGGTAGTTGGTTGAGGCACTATGCTACAAGCCGGAAGGTCGAGGGTTCAGGTCCCGATGAGGTGATTGGATTTTTTCAATTGAGCTAATCCTTCCAGCCGCACTATAGCCCGGGAGCGACTCAGCCTTTAACAGAAATGAGTACCAGGAATATTCTTGGAATACTCTTGGGGGTAAAGGCTGGCCGGAACGTAGGGCTGACAACCTTGCAGCCATCTATGAGCCGATTTTCTAGAAAATATGGGAACCTCAACATCTCACAACCCTATGGGCCTTCACGGCCTGTTACAGGGATAGCTTTACTTTTACTTCTTTTACTTGCGGGAATATATACCTTGTTGTTGCTGTTAATTATTATTGATGCTGTTATAATAATTACCATCATTATCATTGTTTAATCGTTACTGCCATCATCACTGTGACGTAGTTTCCATCGAACTCTCTTGATAGTCATTCTGCCATTTAAGGCTACCTAACCTGGGCTTTGGCACATGATCTAGCAAAATAAATGAAATAGTACACAGCTCTGGATGGACAGATCGAAGAAATTTCGTGGCCATCCATCGTAATCTAATATGTCCATGACTTCTGTTTACAGGAGACTTGAAGGATGGGCAGAATGGAGGCGTGAAGGAGAGTTCCACTTTTTCCACATCGGAATCGAGAGGTGAGTGCAGTTCTGTATTGGTGCATGGTGAGTCCTGTAATAACAGCTTGCTTCTTTGCTAACCCCCCAGTAGCGAATGCAGGACAGGCCCAGCGACTCCGCATCTGAATGAGATGCAAGCAGCAGCAAGCACACAGACACACAGAGCTCAAAATCTTTCTGCCTGGCAGCTTATAGTGTAGCCTAACTTAGCATCGAATTTCATCGAAATGGAATAGTTCGGAGTTGGAAAATATAGCAGAATATTTATCTTAGCCTAGAGGCAGAATTGACAGGCAAACGTGATTCAAAGCCATGATTTTTTCTATAGGTTTTATTATCGATCTATTGGAAACAAATTCCGTTAAAATATCCGTTCATATAAAACTGACTTGTAAGTTGGTTTAACAGAAGGGTTTGCCGATGAATGTAATCATTTCTGTTTAGTTTCTTTTTGTGAGTGAGCTTAACCAACATCTTGTGAACACGGTAATGAATCTTCGGGAACAATAAAAGACGTGGATTTTTTTTATCGTCTTAACTACTCTTGGCTCCTGAAGAAGGTCTCAGGCCTGTGAAGTTAGTCATACTAAGTTTTTAACTTAGTGTCCTTCCTGATCAATTTTCTTTGCGGTAACGCCTCCTACCCGGACTTGTAATGGATCGATTCTCGGGGCCGGAAGTCATTGTTTTACTTTAAATCTTTTACGTTTGTTCTTACAGACAAGTGATGTATCTTGAAGGAAAAGTGAAGTATGTTAGTGTAAGTATATTCAACAATTTCATAGAATAAATAAAGCACTAAACGTAGGTCATATGCACCCGTAAAACAGAATAGACCAATACAAAATGAGATTTCATAACTGGAGTCTTGCATCTTCAGTGACAGTGAGTGACGGGCGGAAGAAACGCAACGTAGCTATTGTATAAACGTGAAAATTTTTCTGCTGCATCCTTCGTCCTTGAAGCAAGGCTTGCGCAGGGCGTTGTGTATGCAGTATATGACAGCTAAATGCTATTAGTCGTTAGTCTTGGTAAAATAATTTAAATAGGTAGTTTTTTTTGTTTGTTTTCTTGGTATATTCAACCTTGCGTCAGCTTCATTAATTATACTGTGATAGATTATAAGATGAGGTGTGGTATACTGGGAAGGCAGTAAAAGGAAACGTTACTTTCATTTTTTATAGAGCGAAGCTGTTTTAAGTTGCATGTTAAAATTCAGTTCTTACCTCCAGGCATTTACACCGCTTCTCCATTACAGATATCAATCGGTCTGTTAATTCCAGTGAAATGGCCACTGATTTTTGGGACTCAAACGAATCCCACAGATAAATTCTGCGGGCTGAATGCGTTACCGTTAAAGAAGCGGTACACATAGTTACCACTGTCGTGTAAGGATTTAAGGTTGAGGAAAAGGAATATATTGTAACGGATTTGATTAACACGTCGCCAGACAACAGCTCTGTAAACACGGTCGAACATGCAACAGTAGCTGTGGTTTCTGTAGATCCGACAGACGCGCCAATAGACCGGCTGGATAGCGATCACGTGATATGTGTTTACTGTACGTCCATGTCTGTTCCTCGGTTATATAAAGAGAGCAGTGACCTGTAAGTTCAGAGGAAATAGGAACTAGGAGTAAAGAAGAGTACAAGATGTCAGCTTGTGATGATTTGACGTGTGATTTGAAGACTTTATGTGTGCTGTATTACAGTGATATTTGGGAGTGTATGATTTGGTGGACTTCTGTGGTCTCTGTGTTATAAATCCGTGAAGACTAGTGCAGATAGACTGAAGAGATTATCGTGGAGTACTTTGTAGTGTGAAAATCAGCAATAGTGAAGTAATTAATTGTAGTTACGACCCGTAAATATCCAATAAATCCGCTTACTAATCCGAACGCCGTCTTCAGTTACCAATACCTTCCTTTCTTCCCCTCGGCGCTACAGCTCAGGGTGAGCTTTGGTCTCCTGAACAATCAGCATCCATTCCTCCCTATTCTTCATTTGTTCAGGCGATGAAACATCGAATGGTAGAGTGAAGAAGGGAGGAGAGTGTGGATGGAAGAGGTCGTGGCCCACTTATTTTTGCTCGCTGATTTCCATCTATCCACGCTAATTATCTGGTTTCTAAGCAATTTAGTTTTTACGGTGTGAGTTTGTCAGCCTCACGCCCAACCCCCAACGTGAATGACCACGGTATCCCTTTTCGTCTGGCTCCTACTCCTTGACCTGTCCGGCATGGGTCTTCTACCAGTAGCTATGCTACCGCCGGCATACCTCTCAGGGTCTCAGGAGCACTCAGACCCCACCACCACCGACAATAAGATGGAGACACACTTGGTGGGGAGTCACCCTTACACGTGACAATATTTTCAACAGGTTAGGCGACCCCCAGAATTAGAGTTGAACACAGGAGCCTCCCGAATAGTAGCCACGAATGCTAAGCATTATACCGCGTCTTCTGTGGCTGTTTATCCCGTTTAATCGGAGCGAGACCAGTATGATGCCGCCAAGCTGAAGAATGTCGTGCTACGCCTTAGAAAGTCATTTGCATGTCGAAAAGCAGGGAGTAATGGTCTTTTAGTGGATTTAATTTGGAGGCCTCGGAAGCAGCCATTCTGTTACAGAGTTGCTTGTCTCTGTATGTCTGGAACTCTCCGCCCTCTGATTTAGTCACGACCATCAGTATGACAGATAGTCAGTGATCGATTTCGTGAAAACGTTTTGTTAACAATATGTAACTTAACACCACAGTAATTCCTTTGCATACACGTATGCAGCACCAGTCCGGCGGCAGCGTGGAACTATAAAACGGCAATAACTTTAGCGCCGTTCAGAATAGAGCCGTGGAGTCTTGCGTGGTGCATGTACAGCCTTTCTTTAGGGTAATTTAACCATTTCCCTGCTTGTTATTTTTTTTATAACTCCCCGGCTTTTAGCCCACAAGCGAACTAAACCGACCGAGCGACCACCGCTTGTCGGCGAAGTTACTGCCAACTTTAGCGGATAGAGGGTGTCGCGTGGTCAGCGCAACGGATCCCCACGGCCGTAAATCTCGGTTTTCTAGACCGGAGCCTTTACTTTTCCATTCAAGTAGCTCCCCAGTTATCCACACGAGGCTGAGTGGACCCTGTTCCAGACTCACTACTCCTCAGAAAATCTGTAAGTGTCGGGAATCGAACCTCTAGATCTGTAGCCAGGAACTCTGACCACTTGACCACAGAGGCCTTCTAAAATAATGCAGTTTTAAGACAAAAATATGAAAAGACAACAAAATAAATGTTCATAACTCAATGAATGTCTTCGAAGAGACGATTATTTCTTGATGTGGACTAAAGTTGAATGTCGCACTGTGTGATAATGGATACATGTTCGATTTCAGTCGAATATCGCAACGGTANACACTAAATGAATCGCTACAGCGATTGAGTTTGTTTCCGACATCACCGGAAGCACTTCTGACTCGGGGTGAGGGTGGTACCCGTGCTGAATCAGTAATGAGGAACCGACTATCCTACTGATGTATCAATTCCGTATTGTTTTCCCCTCCGTTTGCTCGAATTTTCCGATGATGGCTTTATAGGGGCCGTGTCTGCTTTGTTCCAAATCTTACCTGACGTAACAGTTGAAGATCAGCTTCATCTTATTCAGTAGCTGTGCAGTCGATATATCACTGACTGACAAAAATCCACAGTTTATGAAGCATTTACAAATCTAGGTAGCTTATTGAAACTGTAGGAGCCGGGATTGCGTGGTCAGTATCACGATTGCTTACGGGCTGGACGACCGAGGAGTCGGAGTTCGAGTCCCGGTAGGGTCGAAAGTTTTCTCTTCTTCACTTCGTCAAGACTAGCTCTGGGGCCCACGCAGCCTCCTGTCAAATGGGTACCGGGAGTTCTTTCCCCGGCGGTAAAGCGGAAGGAGCTTCAAGCTGACGACTCACATCCAGCTAGTTCTGAGGTAAAGAAAATGTGGATCTGTACATCCACTCCCCATACCCCTTAATTGGCCGCCATAGCTCAAGCGGTTAGTCGCTGGCTTTCCACCGCGGCGGCCCGGGTTCGATCCCGGGTCTGGTCAAATGGGATTTGTGGTGGACAAAGTGGCGCTGGGGCAGGTTTTCTCCGAGTACTTCGGTTTCCCCTGCCAATCTTCATTCCACCAATTTGATCTGCAGTCACCCTCGGCTATCATCAGGAGCTGGTACAATAGGCCAGAAGTGGCCGCAGTACAAGGGACTTAGTCCCACCCCACTAGCAATAAAGTAATAATACCCCTTAATTAGTTAAGCATAGGAACAACTTTTCTTTTAGTGTGAGTGTGTTAGATTTTGGCTTTTCGACAGATGACACTTAGAGTAGTATTCATAGGAACAGTGACTGTTTTAGAATATGCTAGTATTTTTGCCTCATAGATGAAAAAAAATCCACATTTCTACTGCATGCGCGGCAGTAAGTATTGCTTAATCCTTTCTTCCTGAAAAAGGAAGTGGAACAGTTACCACCAGGGCCCGGATTTTGATGACATGTCGTCTTTTCTTCCTTGTATCCTGTGCGATGCTCTTAAATATATAAATCTCGGATATGAGCTGCTGGTTGCAGAAATGTAAATTTTATTTGTAATTTTTTGGACTTTTAATGGTATCTTGTGATTTTTGGCCACTTTAGTGAATTTTTCTTCATATGTTTTCTGAAATGTGAATAACATGGAAGCGAAGTGTTGTTTCTTTTCTCCTTTAGGTAATTTTTCTGGATTTTTCGGTCATTTTATAGGTCATTTTTTTAATGTTTTCAGGTCATCAAAATCCGGGTCCTGCATATTACATTTTTGGGTCATATTTTAGGTCATTTTTCTGGATTGTTTCAGTCATCTTATAGGTCATTTCTTAAATATTTTCAGGTTATCAAAATTCTGGCCCTGGTTATCACTATGTGCTATGTTTCCATTTTATTTAAAACATACTGCACTAGGATGAAGCTGACTTAACTGGTTATTCCTCTGACGTTTGAACTGCATGGTTCCTTCTGAGTGCTCTCGAAAGTTCGCAGCGCGACAAACACGCAACTTGACAATTGGTGCCTCTCGGTACCACAAAAATGCGGCTGTTTCAAGAACTAATAGCGTCACATGCTGCAATATTGATTGATGACGCGAAAGCAGAAATCTGCTCGCTTTTAGTAAATTTTACAGGCTCAACAGAGTTTTCACACAAGTCACATCTGAAGTAACCTAGAAACACTCGAAATGTGACGTAACGGTTGTTTGCTTGCTTCATTATTTTACGATGTTGCGTGAGTGATGAGTCTACTAAGTTTTCAGGAGTTCACTGCTGTGATTGCTGAGATTCTGGTCATGTGGGTGAATACCAACGCCTTGGAGGAGCGTTCTGCCTTCATTTTCAGAATAAAAATAACAGTGGTGAGGATGAGGTTAATTCGTATAGGCAGGTTAAAGAGAAGCACACAAACTTTAATTGACGATAGTAAGGAGGTTAGTCTGGAGTAAACACAGACGAAACTAAGTATATGTTGCTGTCTCGTCATCAAAATGCAAGGCACGACTCTAACAAATCAAAACCTGATTGAGGAGGAAATTAAGAGGCGATTGAACTCGGGTCATGCTTGCTACCATTCAGTCCAGAAGCTTTTGTCTTATTCTGCTGTCCAAAAACATAAAAATTAGAATATACAAAACTATAATTTTGCCTGTGGTTCTGTATGGGTGTGAAACTTGGTCTCTGACGTTAAGGGAGGAACATAGACTGAGGATGTTTGAGAACAGGGTGTTGAGGAGAATATTTGGACCGAAGAGAGATGAAGTGACAGAAGGTTGGAGAAAACTGCATAATGAGGAGCTTCATAACTTGTACTCTTCTCCAAGCATAATTAGAATGATCAAGTCAAGGAGGATGAGGTGGGCAGGTACTGTAGCACGAATGGGGGAGACGAGGAATGCGTATAGTATATCGGTGGGAAAGCCAGAAGGAAAGAGACCACAGGGAAGACCAAGGCGTAGGTGGGTGGACAATATTAGAATTGATCTTAGAGAGATAGGTTGTGGTGGTATTGATTGGATTGATCTGGCTGAGGATAGGGACCAGTGGACGGCTCTTCTGAACACGGTAATGAACCTTCGGGTTCCATAAAATGCTGGGAACTTCTTGAGTAGCTGCACAATCGGCAGCTTCTCAAGAAAGGCTCAGCTCCATGAGTGAGTGAGGTTACAAGAGTGGTGTTACTCAGCTCCACGGGAGGGGGACAAAATAGATCCTTATCTCAATTTATATTGGTCTGGGCAGGGGTTTGTGTTTCCTCTCCTTTCTTCTCCCTTCTATTTTCCTCTCCTCTCCTCTCCTCCCTCCCCCGGATATAGGTGAATACGTTATAACTGACAAGGCTATTTATCGTCAGATGAGATCAGGGGAAATACTCATAGTTTCATACAACCAATTGGTAAGGGTGGGTATGGAGGTGACTGTGGGCTAATTCTGTTACTATATTGGCTTGGAGGTAGGAAGCGAGGAGAACCACGAATACCCGCAGCAAACCAGTCTTCATCGGGAATTTTAAGCAAGTGCGTACGGAATGCCAGCCAGAAATGCTACTCCCTCTGGCACCTCGCTCGGTACATAAGCAGGAAGGAATTGCCTAGCGACAGACGAACCATCATGACATTAGCGGTCTGGGTTAATACGTCAGTTTACGACATTATTGAGACTGTGTTGCGCAAAATGAGGCCGTACAGTGATTATGAAAGATGAATGGACAGCGATGTGAGGAGCTGCAGCTTGTCTCTTATCTGCTGCGATATTCCGATGCTTGCTATGAAGAACAGAGAAACGACGGAATCGTCTCAGAATATGGGTCACCTCCGAGGCCTGAATCAGGCACGTCAGAAACGCACGCGTCTTCGAATCCCGCTGGTTTGACGTAGCGAATGGATGAAGTAGCTTAATACTAAACGTTCTCTGTAACCTATGATATTAACCAGAATACATAGTTTTTTTTTTTACTGAAAGCTCCAGCATTATCCAAACCTTGAAATTAGCTTAGCTTAGGATAGAGGAAGTTGGCTAAGGCGATATTGTATTTGGAAAGTGCCCAGTTCGAATCTAGTTCGGGACACCGTCTATCTTAAATAAATATCCTCGTGGTTTTCCTAAGTATCTCCAGTACATTCAGAATAGGCCGCGATCGCTTCCTCCCACACCCTCTTCAAATGATTATTTTCTAATAATCGGACCGTTTGGACACCGTACAGTCTGAGATACTATTAGAATCACTAAATAAATCAAAATATATAAATTAACTTGGAAGAACTGGCAATTTGTTGTTGACCACAAAGCTGCAGGTCTAGATGATGATGAGCCCATGTGCCACCTTACAGCGCAAGGTATGGTTATAAAATGTTATATTTACAAATGCACCACCGATATGAGGTGACAGTGTATGTCCTGATTGCCATTTGTGTAGGAGACTTAACTAATACACGCTCAATTATCCCTAATTGCGATGCAGAATAATGTCGATTCTATCACCAGTCCGAAACGGATGCTCACTTCTGCCACTAATCTACTCTTGTGGAGTGTATGACTGATATGTATTTGTTTTGTGGTTCTCATTAATACTGTTGCACTTTATTTTAAAATACAAATACTTTTTGTTTTGTTCTCTCTTCCCTGTGTTCGTCTTTTTGTTACTCCCGATGAACTTCAGGACAGCGCCGGCGTCGGAGACAAAACGCACCTCAGCATGAATTGCCAGGCGACACGAAAGAGGACTCTGACACTATCGCAGATACACATAGTGAAAGCAAAACATTTCGCAGCGTGACATCATCGGAAGGTGGGGGTTCCAGATCGCGTAGGCGCAGAAGAACTAGAGGAAATCGACGAAAGTGTCTCGCGGGGAACGCTTTTGGTGTCGAAGGTGATGTTTCAGGAACTGAACTGATGGTGGCAGAGCAAGACAAAGAAATACCAGAGACGGAGCCGAAAACGGACGCAACAATGTCTGACATTGGCGCGAAAGCTGAAAAACATGGCGCTCACGAACGAGAAATATCTGAAGTTGATACTGTAGGGGAAGTTGTGAACAGGGAAATTAAACGGGAAGTTATTTTTAGGAAAGTTCAAATCACAAACTCAAATGTTTTGTCCTTCGATGTTAATAAGGAAAGGTTAGGTGAAGTGACTGTTGAAAACAAATTTCCAGTGGATTTTTCGTCTTCTGGAATCAATCAAATGGGGGTAAAGGAAGGAGATAATGTAAATATTAAAGCCTATACAGCTAGGGAGAGGAGGATAATGGTTGCCACTGGAAATAAACGTATACCAGAAGCTCTTGTTTCGGACTGTGATAAAGAAGACGTTCTATACCAGGAGAAGGTACCAGAAGTAGGTGTAAATTCCAATGACGAAACAGAAATTGGGTTTGAGAAATCCAGTTTCGAAGACAGTGCGTCAGAACCTAATAAGTCAGTACAAAAAAATACACAGTCACTGTCTGAAAGATGTGACGATGTAACGGGAAGTGTTGTACAGGAAGTTGTCGAAATTGATAAGCTGAGGGAAACTGAATGTATCCAGGAAATTGTTCCAGAAAAAGAATCACATCGAGATGTTAGGCATAACGCTGAAGAACAAGAAAACATAATAGTACTTCATCAAAAGGAAGCAGCGGAAGCTGACATACGGACCATTCATCTAGAAGAAAAAGGAAAGGAAATAAACAAAGAGAAGAATGAATGTGAGAAGGAAGCAAGTCCATCATATGAAGAAGTCTGCGAAGCTGTAATCGTCCAAAATGACGTGTCTTTGATAGACGTTAAAGGCAGGACTGAGTTTCTTATTAATGAGGTAAATAAGGAAGGACTGGAAAGCGACGAGACAACGAAAACTCTAATATCGGAAGTGATGCCCGCAGAAATAAAGGAACAGCGAGTTGAAAGTATGAATTCTCTGGTAAGAAAGAGTGTGGACATTTCGCGCTACGAAACTGACTCAGAAACTCACATCAGTAAAACTGATAGTGAAATAGAAACTGAGAATTTTCGGGGCATATTGATAGTATATAACTCACCTCATTCGGGTAATGATGGTTCAAGCTTGCAAATTACACAACATGCACAAAAAGTTACACAGGAACAAGTAAAAGACTTTGGTTCAGCAGTTCGAAACACGAAGACTAGATGCTCTCCTGCAGATACAGGAAGTCTGATAGCTGGGGAACCTACATCATCTGATACAAAGGAAATTAAAGACATTACAAGCAGGAGTTACTCTTGTGGAAATTTTTCAGATCTTTCAGTAACTACAACAAATGTTTCGCACGGATCTGGTGAACAGGTTTGCAATACTGGAAACTGTGAGCACAGAACATTTGAATATCCATTGGAGCAAGTTTCAGAGGGCGCTAATACTATGGCGGAAGATGAGCAGTGCATGCTTGTAGCTGAACTACATAGCAGAAAAGCATTTGGGTGTGAGAATGGCCGTGATATAGCAGGACCTACTGCTTCAGACAGCTTCAAGGCAACAGAAAACAAATCGCAGTTAAAACTATGTAACGATGCATGTAAGGACACAGGCGGTGTATATCCTGGTACCAGCAGCAGTGCAACAGCGGATGAGAGAATGGTTCGAATTTCAGAAATATCGGGAGAGGGCGACAAATACAGGACAGAACTGGAAGAAAACAAGGTTTATTCAGTTTCAGAGCAGTCCCCGCCAGAGTGCAGGGCTGTTGTGGTGGAGGAAGTAGGTGAAGGTATGTGGGAAGAAGTTGAAGAATTATGCGGAGACGAAACGATTTGTGAAGACGACCGACTGTCGGATGATGCAATACCTAATGGAGATGGAAGGCGTTTTCGCATGACAGGCACTCCATCCTCGGCCCAGGATGCTAAACTATCTCAAGAAGAGAAGGAGTTGCTAGATCCACATCCTCTGATAGATGCAGAAGATGAAGAAACACTGAGGCAGTTCCTTCATAGCCTCAACTTGGCAGATTACAGCAAAGAAGCAATTCGTTCTAGAAATGCCATGTTGAGGGATGGCAACACGATAGAAGAGGTATACGCGACCAGAAAGAGTAAGCGCCGGGCACCTCTGGAGACGTACCCCAGCCAACAGAGGGGTCTGGATGTGATCTTTGAGGAGAACAGCAGTGACTACAGTGATGGAGAGAAGCGAGTGGAAGAAGCAGGATCTCTGAAAGAAAAGCGGGAAAAGGCGTGGGAGGAGGCTATATTCATCCCAGAGACGAATCAGATCGTGTTTCTCAGCAATGACTATGACGAAGGGGAATACAAGGATCTTGAAAACAAAGGAACTGAAAAATACAGGATTCGAAACCGCTCCGAGTGTTATTTAGAAAGAAAGGTCTTGAACCATGCTACGGAGAGTGAAGAAAGTACTGCTGGTGTTTACCGACGGGTAGAAAAGGAGTCGAGAAGTGTGAGGACACGAATTGTTTCCGAAGAGACTGGTATTGATGTTTTCTCTAAAGATATGGAAATCGCTTTGGAAAATGTTCGTGAAACTGAAGAATATGATAGTGAAGACGGTAGGGAAGAAAGGTATTGTGATGAAAAACTGGAGGTAAGGATAGAGCTGGCAGAAAGTAGTGACGACGAAGACGACATAAAGAGGACGTGGAAGAAAGGGAGGGCGCGAGAGAGGCAGGACACTGTCGAGATCGTCTACCTCGAGGAGGACAGCGGCAGTACCAGTAGCGGTAGTTGCATAGCGGGGAAGAAACCAGAAGACGAAGCTGCAGAGGATGCTGACGTAGAGGAAGACCCGAACGTGTTGTATGAGGAGATTGAATTTCCCGTTGTTCATATGGACAGGATCACAGGCGTAATTGGTGATGTACAAGAAGAATCGTTAGAAACTAATTCAGTAAATGCTATATACGAAAATATAGAATTTCGTAGAAACACAGAGACTTCATTCACATCTAAACAAGAAACTAATAAAGGGAACTCAGACATTGCTCCTAATTTGCAAGGATCACCACATTATAGCGATACAAATGAATTTGCGACAGATATTTACGAAGAAGTCGAGTTTGTTAGAAATGAAATATCAAATACGACAAACACAGAAATGAATTTATCCACCTCAGTTGTGCGCAATGAAGTAAATTCAGTGCATCTATCAGATAATTCCAATACAGATTCTGGCATCAACTCCAGGTCAACTGACAACAACAACAACAACAACACGTATGTACCTAGGGAAAGCGACAATGAGAACAAAGTCGCAGGGCATTTTAAGATTACAGAGGCTGATGATTCCGGCAATATAGAAAGAGAGCAAATAGCAATTGTAGACACAAAGAATGAAGCCAACTCTCTTCTGCAAAGTGTACGTAAAGTCGAACTGACTTCGCAGCTAGAAAACGGGACTCAAACTGACAGTGTCACTAACAGTACGAATACCTGTGCTAAAGAAAGTCCTCAGGAAAGTACTGGAACTGCTCACACTGTTTTAGAAAGTGATGCGCAGTCTATAGGAGAGTATGGGGAGAAAACATGTTCTGCTAAAACCACTGATTATAATGATTTGCAGATAAATAATTCAAAAACACTAGATATCGTTAAACGAATTTTATCTTTAATACCTCAAGGAGACAATATGGACAGTACTCATTTAGAGTCGATTATATCGCAAGTGACCTCAGAAAACGGTCAGACAGAATCGTTAAAGGACAGTGTAACTGAAGGGTTGGTAGAAAAATTGATCACAGAAGATGGAGGACATCAACAGGGAACAAATGAGAAATTATTCGAAACTAAACCTAATATAGTCTCAGGTGCCAAAATATTTTGTGAAAGTATACCTTCTGACGGGATAGAACACGATGCAAATCCAAAAACAATTAAAAGCGAACTGGATTCTAAATCACCTCCCATTACAACAGAACATAATGCAAGCTGCGAAGGTGATATATATGTTGAAGCTACTGGAAAGTATGGTGAATGTCCGCTGAACGCCAATGATGAATTCTTGCAAACTCTTTGTCAGATCGATTCATGTATCAAAATAGTGAATGAAAGTTCACATTCTAGACAGTCAGGAAATAATTTGGATACCAAAACGGTTCAATGCAATCCGGATTTGCAAGTACCAAGCACCACACAAGAACCAAATATCAGTCATGGTATTGAGATACATGTTGAGCAAGAGCGACCGGTTAATATCTCAGGGGAATGTGGAAGCGCAAGAGATGAAGAAGATGGCTATGATGAACTCGACTCGATCACCCCAACAAACCTGTCCCGTCGTGAGTCTTCGAGTAGTGACGCGGGGTCACATGGGACAGCTGTCTATTGTCCCGGGAGATTTTCACCTCAGTCGTCAGATGCAGACGTTTCTTCCTATGCTGAGGATACCATCGCGGAAAGCAAGCCTTTACGTAAAATATATTCTCCTCAGAATATTCGTGACAGGTTGTCTAAATCACGCAGCCACGAAAATATTTCAAAACCTAAGAAATACCTTAGTCCGACGTTTATGAAAGGGACAGAAAGTCATAGCAAAGTGCCTTCATCTCCAAAAACACTGAAAGACTTGACTATAGACAAGGTTGTATCCTTACGCCATGGTGCTGACATGCTTAATGCATTAGGAATTAGTGTTCCTTTGAGAAATCCTGAGAAAACTCACGGTGGTACCAAGGTAGGTGTGAACAACCTTGTGCAAGATGCTGTGAAAAGTTCCCAATTTTTTAATTCTCCATCAGTTTTAGACGAGCATAAATGTATTGGGAAATCGTCCTTATCGGGATCTTTGCCAGATATCTCGTTTATGAAACAGGAGGCTCTAATCAGAGACCAGACACCTGGCATTGCTATCGTGAAATCCCCTCCCCCACCTGTTCTCTCGCCACCCTCCATTCCGGATAGTCATTGGTTAGGAATGCCTACTAAGGAAGATCCGAATTTACTAGTCTGTCTGTCACCGTCACAAAGGCGAAGTTACCAGGAAGGCGAAACACCAACGCCTGAAGAAGCTGGAAATCTTCTGGATCTACACCGCAAGTTTATCCAAAGACGTGGTTATCATGAGAACCCTCATCCACCAGCCAGTAGAAGAGCACTTGGAGCACGCCATTTCTTTAGCGAAACTCCTTTCCCGAATAACTATATCGGTGGTGAGCATCTGAATGGCCATATAGATTGTCAGAAGCCGTCATCATTAGCTGGAAAATGTGTAGAGAGTGAGGAGACATCTGTAGCCCCTAAACCCCTACCATCTCCGAGGTTCAGAACTGTATTTGCGTCATTAGATTCAAAAATACACTTCAAGGGGAACACGAGCGCGGTAATAGGCGGGTTAGAAGATGCACAAATGGAGGAGAAAACAGAGCTAGGTGTTAGAGTAAACGAGGATAAAGAGGAGGATGGAGGGGGAGAGAAAGAGAGAGATGGACGCAGAGGTAGCAGTCGATTATTGGCAATTCTCCGAGCTTCTTCCGAGCCACAAGAAATCCAAGCCAAACACTTGTCTCCATCATCTTCCTGCAGTCCACCACCTCTGCCTCCGCTGCCTCACGCTTACCAGCACCAGCTCGCCATGCTGGCCTTCTTACAGCAAAACCGGAGACCAACAACTTTTTGCTGCACTTCAAGCTATAACGACTTTGATTTTCTGCTGCAACACGGGCCTCCGAGGTCGCCATCTTGCAGCAATCAGAGTTCATGCGACAGCAACTTGCAGTCGCCAACGCTGAAAACAAAAGCTGATGGTAAGACATCACCTTGTTTCAATTTCTTTGAAAGAACAGGGATTAAGAAAGAAAGGGTTTCGTCTTGGTACGGGCAGAGTATGAGTGAAGGGAATGACAAAGAAAGACTTAAAGTGAAGTCCTTATCAGACTGGCTACAGCTGGTTCGTTGTGGTGGTTCCAGTAAAGACACAAATGGGACTCAAAGCAAAGACTCCACTCCTCAGGTCAGTGCTTGTGTAAGTACGCAGTCTTCACCGGGACCGATCAGGCGAGTCGGTAAGGACTCATCTCCAAAACCAGAAGCAGAAAAGAAAAAATGCAATGATCTGAAAGATCACCAAAAATTAAAGCAGGACATTTTAGAAAGACGGTTCTCTTTACCAGAGGGACAATTAGAGCAGGCGTGCCAACAAGATCAGAACTTGATAAAGCCACCAGTGCTGCCAACTTCAGCACGTGATGACGAAAGGCACGAGCATCAGTTAAAGTTGTTACAGCAAAGGCAGCAGCGTCTTAGAAACCAGCTGTATTCACACAGAACGGAACCGACGCAAGAGAAACGGCCGCCATTACCACAACAACAAAGCAGACAGAAACAGGCAGATACAGAAGTGAAAAGGCAAGAACGATTGAGCCCTGCAAGAGAAGAACGTAAGCAACAATGGACTGCACTGCAGGAAACTCTGCATGTAGAACGTCGATTCGACGCTGATAATTATCGAATATCGAAAAAGGGAGACATTGCGATCATTAACAGCAATGCCACAACGCGAGTGTTGAAAGAAGAACAATCGACATTAAGAGGCACGGAAAGTAAAGAAGAGAAGAACTCGAGACAGAACAGAATATCGCAGCGGCCGAAGTCACTGCCGCCCCCCACAGAATCTTTAGTGACAGGTGGCGAGATCTTCCGGCAGCAGATGTATTTAGAGTATATGAACAAAGTTGCCGAGCGAGCTGAAAGACGCCGACATAAAGTAATCCGACTGTCATCTGTTCCACGTGAGGACACGCCGGTATCAGAGACGCAAGAAGCCACCGCCTCGACGGTACACCAGCTGGAGAACGAGTTCATGGGGAGAGTGCGAGAGAGAATGGACAAGCTGGGGTTAAAATATGATGAGGAAAGCGATGATGGGATACAAAACAAAACGGAGTGCGGGGCAGACAATTGTTACGTCATTACGGGTGGTGGGGAGGCTCATGATGTCGGTAGTGGGAGTACTTCTGTCTCTCAGCTTCCCAAGCATCTGCAGGAGTTCCTGGTCATCGCCGGTGGTGCAGGAACCGATAGTGACGTCAACAGTGACGTAGATGGTGAGTTTACATCGTGGTATGTGCATTGTGTCTGTCCTTTGTCTAACCTACACGACGTTTTTGTAATTACGAGTGTTGTAGAACTAATTACGTTTGCCAGTGAAGTGTGTCTGGACTAACGGCTTCCGATGAAACCAGTAGATAACTAAAAGAAACTGCTGTCCTGAAATTCCGCTCTAAAACATGTTAGAATGCAACTTTCTTCTATTGGCTGGATCGTAGGTGATGCTCCATGTGTGCACATGCTGGCGAAGGTGGGCCTGTCGCTCATGCTGCGTGCGGTGATAAACGAATATGGAACAAGTTTCGAACGGAGACTTGTAGTGTAGAACTTTGAGAGATCTGTCTCTCTTTGGCTTGGGTCACCATGACGTAGTACTGAACCCCCAGCCTCTAACCTCATCACGGATGAGAAGGGCTTACGTGGTTGATTTTTTTTTAATTTAAAAGTTTAAATTTGCAAGGAACAGTACACTCTATAAATACGATTAGTTCCAAAAGAAATAATTGGAGATCAATAAGGCCTGTATTTTGGAACTGCTGTATTCTGTACTCGTATGTAGAATATTTTCGCTGTTCGCATTTTATAATGCAAACTATGAGTATAATGTAGAGATCTCTATACAATAATTTTATAAAGGTATTCAAGAGCCCTCAAGTCTTTGCATTTGAGTGGGTGACATTTAGTGACTTCTTTCTTGATTTTCTGCGACGAAATATCATTTCCATGATGAGGTATGAAGGAAAGGACAACAGTTCAAAATACTTCTGCTGCAGCAGTCTCTTGAACTGTATGTTTTCCCCAAAATAGTTTTGTATGATTTTGTGGAATCGTGACATAAAGATAGCAAACAGATATTTTCAAAATGTTGCACAGTTAAGATATTTGGGAACGACAGTAACAAATAAAAATTTGATTGAGGTAGAAATTAAGAAGAAACTAAATTCGGGTAATGCTTGCTACCATTCAGTTCAGTACATTTTGCCTTCTCGTCTGCTGTCTAAAAACATAAAAGTTATGATGTACGGAACTATAATTTTGCCTGTGGTTCTGTATGGGTGTGAAACCTGGTCTGTGACATTAAGGGATCATAGACTGAGGGTGTTCGAGAACAGGGTGCTAAGGAGAATATTTAGACCGAAGAGAGATGAAGTGACAGGAGGCTGGAGAAAACTGCATAATGAGGAGCTTCACAACATGTACTGTTGACCAAATATAGTTAGAATGATCAAGTCAAGGAGGATGCGATGGAAAGGGCATGTAGCACAAATGGAGAAGAGGAATGCATATAGGAGAATATTGGTGGGAAATCCAGAATGAATGAATGTACACTGGGTAGGCCTTCTCGCCCCTGCACCGCGACCTGCAGTGATCTATTGTGCTTGAAATCCAGAAGGAAAGAGACCACAGGGAAGACCAAGGCGTAGGTGGGTGAACATTATTAAAATGGATCTTAAAGAGACAGGATGGAGTGGTATGGAGTGGATCGATCTGTCACAGGATAGGAACCAGTGGAGGGCTCTTGTGAACACGGTAATGAACCTTCGGGTTCCATAAAATGCTTGGAAGTTCTGAGTAGCTGCACAGTTGGCGGCTTCTCAAGAATGACTCAGCTCCATGGGTGAGTGAGTAACGAAAACCATTCCTCTGACTTGGGTGTCGAGAGAGAAATATTTAGTATTATTCGTATGTGGATTCCTTCCCCATGCACCTAATTAAAATTGCCCTTCTATTGAAGACAATCACAAACTGATGTTGCATTTTGGATAATGATTTTACTTTCGTGAGCAAAATATACGTAGTTAATGCAGTTGAGCTCGTTATGAAATAGAACCAATATATTTTTTTTATTGCTAGTGGGGTGGGACTCTTAAGTCCCTTGTACTGCGGTCACTTCTGGCCTATTGTACCAGTCCCAGATGATAGGTGAGGGTGATGCTGGAGCAATTGGTGGAATGAAGATTGGCAAGAGAAATCGAAGTACTCGGAGAAAACCTGCCCCAGTGCCACTTTGTCCACCACAAATCCCACTTGACCAGACCCGGGATCGAACCCGGTGGGAAGCCAACGACTAACCACTTGAGCTATGGCGCGGCCTAGAACCAACCCAAGTATTTAATGTTTACGTGCATGGAGGAACTTAGGGCGTAAATTTGGAAAAGGACCTGCAGTCGAGTCAGAAATGACAGAATATTTAATATTTTTATGATGCATAATACCCGTATTTTATCTAAAGCTTTTCGGAGGATGCGTTATCTCAAATCGAAATGTTGGTCGGTAAGTCTTCATTAGAAAGTTATTAGCTTCAGCTGTCAGAGTAAGATGGGAAACAAAATCGCCATACCGTAGGTCTTCTCGAGTCAACAGGAATCATCTTTCGTACGGTTGCCTGTTCGTGATAGCACGTATCCCCCAAAATGTTCTGACAAGTTTGAAAGAAGTCGTGCAGGTGCTGTATAGGCAACTTCTCTGTCTCAGATGCTGAGCACGCAGTCTTGCGGAATTGACAGGCTTAAAGGCGTGGGACGCAGAAGAGGCTTCTCAAGAGGAATATTCTGTCTACATGTGCGAGTATATAAGCCAGTCTTAATAACTTTTAAAATAACGGGCCCATATTGAAAGCACTCGGAGTGAATATACTGTCACTGAAGGTCACACCAGTAGCGTATACTTAATATTACCATAATATATAAAAGTTTGTGACGATTTACATTAGTAAAAATATTATGTTTCGAATATTATCCATCTTTTTATCTTTATCTGAAAACCCTTCTGTTTATTTTTCAAAACAACGTTTCGGAGACTGGATTCTGTCTCCATCTGCAGGTGAAACCTACTCAGTTGAGCCCAATCGATAAAGCTAGTCGAAGGGTTTTTAGATAAAGACAAGACGGTGGATAATGTCCAAAAACATGATATTTGTATGAAATTTGCTTAAATGGATGGAATATATTAACAATAGAATAGGTTATAGTGACGTACATTGGGTTTATCTATCTCAGAATACTTTCCAGTGGAAGATTTTTGTTTCTCTTTATCAGATCTTCCGGGTTTTCTACCAGTTAATTGGTTTGTAGATTATAGATGTACTAAAATTATATCTGATGAATTAATTTTCCTTTCAAATTTGAAGTAATAGAAAGGCAACCACGTAAACTATTTTAGATTTTACGACTATGAACCATAATTATAAGTAGTTGGATAGGACAGATAGTAGTTAGATATACAAATGTTTGTATATAGATCATGGTGGGAACGTCTGAGGTTCATGTTTACAGAAGAGACGAAAGCAAAGCCGCAGAAATCGGTCCCCACCTGATTAGCATATCGCTGTTCGAAGTTGTGTTAATTCCTGGATCCTGAATTAAATATGACGGCTATGTTACAACGTCTAGGTATAACACAGTCCGTCAATAATGCAACAAATCGTTCCTTTCTCTTCCACTTACACTTTTAACACAACACAACATGTTTCGGCCCTAGATGACCACCTTAGAACTGCTACACCGTATTCATATAAGCTAAAATCACACTCTATATTCCGTTTAATAAAATAAACTGCATAAACGTTGCTAAAATTTTAATGTATTTTATTTTATTTTATTAAATGGACTACAGAGTATGATTTTAGCGCATATTACTGCAGTGTAGCAGTTTTAATATATTAATACACCTGAAGATGGCCATTTATGGCCGAAACATGTGTTAAAATTGTAAATGGAAGAAAATGGAACAATTGCATTATTGACGGACTGTTATACATAGATGTTGTAATATGGCTTGCAACAGGATGCTTAAATACAGAATGTCAGCTATGTATTCGGTTCAGTTTACCTCCTCCAATTATTTCTATTATTATAGCCGTAGGCCGCAGTAATTTATAATATTAAAATGTATAAGAGAGAGAGAATGTAAAGACGTCACGTTGTTTAAATGTTGCGGTTCTTTTTGCTCATATGGCGATGAACTTTGTGTTTCAAAATATTTGCTGGTCACCTGAATAGATGTTGACTGCTCGAGGAGAATCCATGATAGTTATAGTTGCTGTTGGTTAATTTCTCTTTTATTTATTTTACGGTTCCGTGCGTATGTTTAAAGACATCTGCTATGGAGAGTTAATATTAAACTCCTGTCGCCGTTGAATCATATCAGTGTACACGTAATATGCCAGAAATTTGGAATGAGCAGTTCATGTGAAGGATGGCCTGTAATATCTTTAAATCCGCTCTTATTTTTAGCTGGATTCTGGTGGTATTTCCTCTGCGCCTCTCAGAGAGTTACTGAAGGAGATGTTGCTGTAGGTGTGGAGTATGGATGGTGTAGTGTAACATAATATCGAAGCACCTGTGACATCATGAACCGAACGTTATGTAGTTTGCATTTGGCGGAACATTGGAAGGTTCTGATTATTTTAAAGTTTGTCATGAACATATCGCAATTAGGTCTATCATAACGTTAGTTTCTTGACAATAACTAAGTCATTTTAAAAGTCAGTACGCTATTGCATCATTCTTAATCAACCTATATACTTTTTGCTGTGCTTCTTTTGTCTCTCGGTCACCCATTATGATGTGTAGTTACGCACTTGCCGATCACAGTGGCCACGCGATCTAAAGTATGAGCTGTTTTCACCCCCTCGAACACTGGAATCGTGCGTTCGAATCCCATTCAAGGCATGGATGTCTATATTGCATGCTTTTATTATGTGTTTATGTTGTTCTGTATGTAGGTAGAGACCTTGCGACGGCCTGATCCCCCGTCCAAGGAGTCCTGTCTACTGTGTATAGGATAAAGAAACTAAAAAGCGACCAAGGCCAAACAAAAGGATATAGAGCCATAATAATAATAATAATAATAATAATAATAATAATAATTCAATTAAATTCTTTCTTATTTATGTGCCGATTCAACAGCCGCAAGGCCAATTACAGAGCACAATGTAAATACAAGTAATTACATTATGGAAAAACACAATGTAAAGTCAAAGACAAATTACAGG